GCAAGAAGTACATTTTCAAAACTCTTAGTACTTATTTCACAACAGATCATCAAAATACACTTTAGCATATTTTTACATTAGTAGAATACACAAATCAACATCCATATATATATTTAATTCACAGTAACTGGCTTTTATAATGCTATTACTATCAAAGTTTTACTTTATATCTCTTCTTTTTCATTTTACTACACATCTATCGTTTAATCCAAATAATCTTAATTAATCTTTCAAATGAAGTACAGGCCATCATTCTTGAGCATATGGTTAACAGAGGCCTTACCGTGGAGACTGCTAGGTTAGTTAACCATAACCTACAAAGATCTACAAGTCTGCTTACTATTCACAATACTTTTACGGTACAGTAAATGGTGAATAAAGTATGAGGGAACCGTCTCAATGTGAGTGGCTAAATATGAAGATGGTGTGGCAGGGTTTACATTTCTTGGATCATATGACACTGAACACCTGATAGTTTTTCAAAAATGTACTCTAGCAGGCCTTTCAGGGTGAAGAAATCCCCTGTCTTGTGTTATTGTGAGGGGACAATGTCAGTTTCCATCATGCAGAGCTGGTTTGGGAATAGTTCAAGATCATCTTCGGTTCATGACCCTATGTCTCTCGCCATATTACCTTTCCTCAACCCACTGAGGAACACTTCTGTGCTTGGAGGAGGAAGGTGCACTGTTAAACAAAAACTGTGAAATTTACGGTAAAATACCGGCAGCTGTGGTTGCCAGTATTTTACCGTAAAAAATATGGTGGACACCTTTTATTTTTTACGGGACTTAAATTTACGGGCAAAAAAAACACAATGTAAAGAAAACCTGTGAAATTTACGGTAAGAAAACGTCAGCTTGGATGCCAGTATTTTACCGTAAAAAATATTGTAGCAACCTTACTTTGAACTATAAATAAATAAACAAAACATCAGCTGTGGTTCCCAGTAATTTACCATTACAATACAGTAGCGATCTTTTAGTTTTTACGGGACAACCCTTATGTTTCATTAGCCGACAAATATTATTATTAATTTTCCCTAAAGTATAAAATCTGCTTTATATATTTGTAATGTACTGATAACCACCATAATAATACAGGTGGTAAAAAAAGAAAACCACATTATGATTCAGTTCACCTTTAGTTTTCCACAAGCTGAGGCACACAATATATATAAGGTGCACAGTGTCATACACATAAATACAAAACACCATCATGACCATCATGGCTCCTCATGGCACACACATGACTCCAAATAATGCCATACACATTCATTAAACAATATATAATGTAATATAAAACCCCAAATGTACATAACTGATAACAAAAAATAAAAAGAAACATAATTGTTTAAATGAAATAACATCAATGTGAAGTGTCACGCAGGGAATTCTGGGAATGTCAATATAGAGAAACAACAAGAACTATAACTGACTTCAGCCACATCCTTAGATGAAATCCACTGAAGAGAAAAGAAGACATTAAATCTGTGAAGATCTCATCAGAGGAGGATTAAACAACTCCACAAACAGCTGTACCAGCTTTAATTATTACTAACCAGACTGACTTTATTTCTGTCAGACGTTTACAGTTCTGTTTGAGAATTAACAGAGGTTTAGATGTTGATGATGTATTGTTTCATTTGAAGTTACCATGATGGTGATCAGTATTTGCTTTATGGGGTTCTTGACCCTTGACTTTCTAACATTAGTTTTTCTCTGTCTGCTGTAACTCTGTGTCTATAAAACACATTGATTATGGTAAGAAAATCAGAGAGAAAATGAGTCCGGTGATGTTGGCTGTGTATTGATGAGTATATAATCATCATGTAGTTGCCTTATTCACTGAGTTCTTTTAGAGTCTTATCTTTGATAATGTTGTTACATTATTGATTGAAGTAGCTCTATATTTTTACTGCATGAGATCCATCATTGTTATGATCTTGAGACTTCTGCACTCAATATAGGTTTGAACTACTGTATCTTTCAGACACACACAGACATCAAGAATCAGCATGTGAATCTCAACAATGGTGATGATAAAAGTGCAGTGCATGATTGGATCCATCAATCAAAAACTCACCAATATCTCCCAGCATGCATTGCAGCATGAATAAATTATGCTGCTTTGCCTCAGTATTTTCTTTTATTATTATCTGCTTTTATTTTTGCTGTTGTTTTTGTTGCAACTTTTTAGTAGCTTGTTTTGTGATGTTCAGAGTTTTATCTGATTATTTTGTTGATTGTAACCATTGTTGAGATTCATACGCTGATTCTTGATCTATGTGTTGGTCTAGACTAGAGCATGCAGTTTAAGTTTAAAATCTTTTTTGTACATCGTGTGGTTTTTAAAGTTCTTCAGATTGTCGCTGCTAGCTTGCATAGTGTCACAGAATTATTATACTCAATAAACTGAAATATATTGGCATTTAACATTCCTCATACAATGAAAGATAGACTCTGTATGAGATCAGTGTATTAGGCCACTATATGATGATTTTGACATCATCAATAAATAGCTAACAACACCTGATCACATTTTCTCTCTGATTTTAATGCCCTAACAAATGTGTTTTTTAAACACACAGTTAAAGCAGTCTGAGAAATGCTAACATTAAAAATTCAAGGGTCAAGAGCGAAGAGCCCAACTAAAGCAAACACTCATCTCCATACTGGTGACTGCATATTATTTTCAATAAAACATCAACGTCTAAACCTCTGGTAATTCTCAAAAATATCTTTTATGACAAATTGTACATACAACATTTTTAAATTACAGGCAACCACAGCTGGCAGGTTTTTAAAAAATGTTTTACCATAAACTGAAGTTCAATGCCATAAAACCTAAAATATTACTACCGTATTTTATACAACCAGCTGCCAGTTTTTTACCGTAAACTTTAGTTCAGTGCCGTGAAGACTAAAATATTTCTACCATATATTTTACGGTAAAGGACTGTCAACCACAGCTAGCAGGTTTTTACCGTTAATTTAAGTTCAATGATGTAAAACACAAAAATTGCTACCGTACTTTTTACGGTAAGTTGTGGTAAACATCAACGTCTAAACCTCTGGTAATTCTCAATAATATCTTTTATGACAAATTGTACATACAACATTTTTAAATTACAGGCAACCACAGCTGGCAGGTTTTTTAAAAAAAATTTACCATAAACTGAAGTTCAATGCCATAAAACCTAAAATATTACTACCGTATTTTATACAACCAGCTGCCAGTTTTTTACCGTAAACTTTAGTTCAGTGCCGTGAAGACTAAAATATTTCTACCATATATTTTACGGTAAAGGACTGTCAACCACAGCTAGCAGGTTTTTACCGTTAATTTAAGTTCAATGATGTAAAACACAAAAATTGCTACCGTACTTTTTACGGTAAGTTATGGTAAATGTAACGGTAAGGTTTTTTTTTCAGTGTACTTCCAAAATCCGTACATTTAACAGTATTTTACTGTAAAACTACACGAAATGTCCCGTAAGAGCTATTACAGTTTTTCACGGTATATAACAAGGGTACATACGCAATTAAGCAATTAACATGTCTTTTACATTGCTTTTTTACAGTATTTTACCGTTCAAATTACGAACATTTTTGATGGCCAATAAGCATGTCATGTAATTCCCATGTCACACTCCTTCACGCCATAGATTAGGCTTGCAATGACAACAGAGCAATGTCAAGCATGAATTAATCATGCATGAAGGTTTTTCCCACGGCGAGATATTCAACAAGAATATTCACAGTGGATGTTGATTAATATATGTCCAAATGTTGAAGACAGGCTTCATTATTTATTCATTTGAGATTTACCATTTACAGCAAAGTATTTAAATGTATTGTTTTACAATGCAACCACTGTACTGTTGTAAAAATACTGTAAAAAATCCTACACTAATCCTGTTCTTTAATCGTACTTAACTTGTATAAATATTTGTATTAATTGTATTTATATGTCAGTTTGGTTGGATAATATAAGTGTAATCTCTATTCTGATGACTGTGTCAGCTGTAGTCCAGCACATTAGCATTTATTCAGCACCAAGGGGGATATGAAACATGTAAAACAAAGACTTTTGACAAAATACCACTTGTGAAAACAGAACCAAAATCATTTAAAAAATCCAATCAGCAAGCAGAATTCTAGTTATCCAAGAGTGTAGGGTGCAATGGGGCTAAAGGCACACCTTAAGGAAAATGTGCTCACTACTCCAGGGGTCTCCAACCCTGCTCCTCCTGTAGAGTTCAGCTCCAACCTGAACACACCTGAACCAGATACTCAAGGTGTTCATGGTATAACAGGGAAGAGTGTTGGAGCAGTGCTGGAACTGAAGTCTGCAGGAAGACTTCTGTTTACTAAACATAGTGAAGGGATTCGCAATTTAACCCATCCAAGTTAGTGCACACACATTAAGAGCAGTGAGTAGTGAACACACACACACTGGAAGCCAGTGAACGAACACACGCAAACGCACACGCAGAGCAGTGGGCTGCCATTTTGCTGTTCCTTGCTCAAGGACACCTCAGTCATTTCCTGCTGGCATTGAGAATCGAACCCTTCGGTTTACAAGTCTAACTCTCTAACCATTAGGCCATCATGACTGCCTGTCCCTGTATAGTTTAAGATTGCTAAAAAAACACACACACACAAAACATATATTGAACATTGATGGAGCAACACATTTTGTGAGAAAATAAATCATAAAAGTGGGTTGTTTTGTTTAAAAATCGTATAAATGTACAAGGTGGAACTTTTACCTCACACTTAGATTCTTCAGTTATTGCAAAACAGTTGATTTAATAACCTTGGACAAAACCAAACATTATTAGCACGATCTTAATTTAAAATATATTTACCAATTGTACAGATTATCAATTGCTATATAAATCTATAAATAAAAGAACACATTAAATATTAGATCACATTAGCGCAGAATAAACTTTGCACTGCTGACTGTGATGGCGTCTAGAAACAGCCAAATTTCCACAAGCATGCTGTGGGTGTGTAGGAAAGTGCAGCGGTGAGTTGTTGTACCATCTAGTGGTTTAGAAGAGAGCCAGCCGTCTCAGACCGGAAGCTAGTGTGGAGATTATAGGGTTAGCGATGGGGCGGATTCGGCAATCGTCGGGCTGAGACTGTATGGTGCTGCGACTCTGCAATCTCCTTTAACCCCAGTGCATCTTTAGCCCTGTTGTACCCTACATCTGAAATCTGCTTGTACATGTCCTCAAGATCAATGACAGGACACTTGTGCTGGATTCGAATCCGGCCTGCATCATATCTTGTTGTCTCTTTACTTTCAATCAATGGCAAAAAACTATTTTCTTTTACTTTCGTTAATATACAAGCAGTATAATATGCTACAACAACAATCCCTTTGCAAGGCAACTCAGCAGAACACAGACCAGTAGATGAGGTTGAAGAATATAAAGGCCCCTGGGAAGATCATGCGAGAGTAGGCATCAATGGCGTGAGTGTTTTGGATGATACGGAAGCCTCTGAGGGTCTTCTTTTTGGCTGCTGTGGCCTCATTTGCCAAAGACAGGCACACCACCATGTGTTCCTGTTTATCCCCAGAGGAGACGGGACCTTGGGTATATCCTGCCAGGCCATTGACATCAGACTTACTGTACGCATCATCGAGCAGCATAGTCCTTGTGTGAGATATGTCACATGTGCAGGGTAAAGGCTAAAATGGATAAACACAAACACTTTCGTTATCATTTAGAAAACTTTTATCTTGGCTTCAGGGTGCAAGATATGGCTTATTTACTTTAGGCTTGAATAAGACAAACAGGAAGCCCACCTAATATTACCTAAAGTTACATGTAACTTTCAACAAGAGGAAAGTACTGTAAGACAAACTGAATATCGGCTTCACAAACTCCTGAAAACCAAAAAAAAAAGAGATTTGAAGTTTGAAGTGATATAGGCCTTGCTGTAGTCTGACTGGTTGCTTGTCAGTTTTGAGGACATTGCTCAGGCCCGGATTGGCTAATCGGGAGCACCGGGAGAATTCCCGGTGGGCCGGTCTGTTTTATTGGCCAGGAGGGCCGGTGTTGTCATGGCACTGGGTTGAATGCTCCAGTCACAGCGCAGCCCCACTATTTTTTTATTGTTATTTTCTCGCAGCCCCACAAAAAAAGTCAGTTGTTAGAGATGTACGTGCGAACAAAAAATAAGAGATACAAAACATGGATAATAGGCGCAAAGGCGGCGCTGAAAAGGCCAGAATAATAAAAAATCTCTAGAAACTCAAGCGGCCAAATAGCCTCAGGGCCGGCCACCATTGAAGTCTCCGAGGTCCGGACCTCGGTCCTCGAGTGTATAATGAACTTTGTGAAATAATTGCCTAATACTCTAATTTGGTGCTGCAATGATTCGCATATTGCGACGATAACCGACCTCATAATCTGAGCTGCTTCAGTAGCTACTCAACACCGCTCGTCGGCAATGGCAAAATGTTTGAGATGACCGATCAAAGCAAGCGGGATTTATGTTCACAGAAGCGCGAGCCGCGGCCGCGCGCGAATCCCAACGCGGCGCTTCACGAGATAAGATGCAAGTGGCTAAACTAAACAGCTGTTTTACCGTAGAAGTTTTAAACGACCGACATAAATAATCAGTTTGCAAAGACTGTATCAATCAAAGGTAACCTAAAGATAAAGAGACTGAGAGAAGAAGAATGAGAGAAGGAGATGGAGATGAGAGAGGAGAGCAGGAAGAGGAATAGCCTATTGCATATTGTGCCCAGAATGAGAAAACCTTTATTACAATGGATTCCTATTTAACACAGATATACACTCACCGGCCACTTTATTAGGTACACCTGTCCAACTGCTCGTTAACACTTAATTTCTAAGCAGCCAATCACATGGCGGCAACTCAGTGCATTTAGGCATGTAGACATGGTCAAGACAATCTCCTGCAGTTCAAACCGAGCATCAGTATGGGGAAGAAAGGTGATTTGAGTGACTTTGAACGTGGCATGATTGTTGGTGCCAGAAGGGCTGGTCTGAGTATTTCAGAAACTGCTAATCTACTGGGATTTTCACGCACAACCATCTCTAGGGTTTACAGAGAATGGTCCGAAAAAGAAAAAACATCCAGTGAGCGGCAGTTCTGTGGGCGGAAATGCCTTGTTGATGCCAGAGGTCAGAGGAGAATGGCCAGACTGGTTCGAGCTGATAGAAGGGCAACAGTGACTGAAATAACCACTCGTTACAACCGAGGTATGCAGCAAAGCATTTGTGAAGCCACAACACGCACAACCTTGAGGCGGATGGGCTACAACAGCAGAAGACTCCACCGGGTACCACTCATCTCCACTACAAATAGGAAAAAGAGGCTACAATTTGCAAGAGCTCACCAAAATTGAACAGTTGAAGACTGGAAAAATGTTGCCTGGTCTGATGAGTCTCGATTTCTGTTGAGACATTCAGATGTTAGAGTCAGAATTTGGCGTAAACAGAATGAGAACATGGAACCATCATGCCTTGTTACCACTGTGCAGGCTGGTGGTGGTGGTGTAATGGTGTGGGGGATGTTTTCCTGGCACTCTTTAGGCCCCTTAGTGCCAATTGGGCATTGTTTAAATGCCACGGCCTACCTGAGCATTGTTTCTGACCATGTCCATCCCTTTATGGCCACCATGTACCCATCCTCTGATGGCTACTTCCACCATGTCACAAAGCTCTAATCATTTCAAATTGGTTTCTTGAACATGACAATGAGTTCACTGTACTAAAATGGCCTCCACAGTCACCAGATCTCAACCCAATAGAGCATCTTTGGGATGTGGTGGAACGGGAGATTCGCATCATGGATGTGCAGCCGAAAAATCTGCGGCAACTGTGTGATGCCATCATGTCAATATGGACCAAACTCCCTGAGGAATGCTTCCAGCACCTTGTTGAATCTATGCCACGAAGAATTGAGGCAGTTCTGAAGGCAAAAGGGGGTCCAACCCGTTACTAGCATGGGGTACCTAATAAAGTGGCCGGTGAGTGTACATGTTCTTTGTCAATGACAGTGGAAAAATAATATGCCCCCGAACCCAGATCACTTTTGGGACCTTTATTTATAAAACCCTGTGTACGGCTATTGCACTGAATAGAAAATTATATTTTTGAAAGTACAATGAATTACAAGGTTGTACAGAACAGTGCACTATTGCAGACTTATATACTGAGGGTTTAATTACATTATTTTAATATAGTCGGTCGGGAACTAAAGTGGGCCGGTCTAAGGTATGAAACTCCAGGGCTGAAAATTAGTCCCACTCCGGCCCTGACATTGCTATATGAATATTTGTCACTTGAGCCCTTATGCATACAGTAACTCTATCTCATGGGAAGTACGGTATTTTCAACATTTACAAGGACAAGGCATGTGATTTTATAGCCATTCAAATCCAGAATGTCAGTGTTTTTCTCCTAGCACCTGGGTGAGATATCATGGCCAAATGATTGATTATTGAACTTACAAAAAATGATCGGTAACACTTTATTTTGATGGTCCCTTTTGAACATGAGTTAGTAAACATGTAGCTGCAAAGTTACTTATAGTCAACAGAATGCATTAAAGGGCCCATCAAAATGAAGTGAAACCAATGGATCAATCCAAAAGTTGTTTTGTAAAAAATCTTTTGATCACTGCTAAGCTCCTAACTATTACCACAAAGGTAATGTGCATGCATTTTAACTCTTTCCCCGCCGTTGACAGAATTTTCCAATACATGTTTGCATTGTTATACAGTAGGGATACCATCTTACACATCTTCTGAAAGAGTACTGAAACTCCGGATCCAAACACATGTGAAGAGGAAGCAGAAACGAGCGATAAAAGTATTGCTTATGCACATATGTCTTTGACAAAAACATGATTTTCTCACATTTTTGCTCAAAATGTTGCTTTTTTTAATTAAACTATACCCACATTCAAGTTTTGATTTAAAAGGAATGCATGAAGATAGAATAAAACAGAATACAACGTTTTTTTAAAGCAGAGGATCTATTCTTTCTTTTGATATATTGCATGTCAAATATTCAATATTATGGCAGAAACAGGTGTAAAATTTGAAATTTGTATACATTTATATCAATTAGGGCTTGGCTGACTAATCATTTTACTAGTCCAAGTGTTACCGTATAAATAAGAGGTTGTGTTAACTTCTTAACTTCTGATCATTTCCACATTTTTAAAACGGCATCCAGTTTGGAGAGATAAAACCATAGCGCACCGATTTTCCTATTAATAAATGTAAATCTTGTAAATCTTGGGGGTTCCCAACAATATGTTTTGTCAAGCCAACATAATAAAGATGACAAAATAAAGGTTAATAATAAAGGCAAGTAATAGAGGAGATTAAATAAGAATAAATAAGGAGATTATCTGAAAATTATTGAAAATCATTTACCTTCTCTCTTAACTTGCGATCCTTCCCATCATGCACTGTGGTCAAGTAGTTTACGGCAGCATACTCAAGTACCGATAAAAAGACGAAGACGAAGCTGACCCACAGGTAAATGTCCACGGCTTTTATGTAGGAGACTCTGGGCATGGAGGCGTTCACTCCAGTGATGATGGTGGACATGGTGAGCACCGTCGTAATGCCTACAGGAAATCACAGTCAAACTCTCCCACAAATAGTGTATCTATTTCATCTCCACACCAACTACCCATTTTGCATTTTAATGATGTGTCTTTTTCTTGTCTTTCTTGTCTGCACTGTGGCATGTTTTATTGCAGTGGCAACGGATTTTAAGGGTTAGTTCACCCTCATGTCGTTCCAAACCCGTAAGACCTTCGTTCATCTTCGGAACACAAACTAAGATATTTTTGATGAAATCCAAGAGCTTTCTGTCCCTCCATAGACTGCAACGTTTTTATCACTTTCAAGGCCCAGAAAGGTAGTAAAGACATATTTAAAATAGTCCATGTGACTACAGTGGTTCAACTTTGTGCGCAAACACAAAGTTGTTTGTCCAGTGAGCGGCAGTTGTTTGTCCAGTGACCGACAAAAACATCAGTAGGCCCTTTGTAATTTAAAAACGTAAGCCTAGGAGAAGCCTATATATTGGCCCTATTTGAAATCCCAAAACAAAAATATTCACACTGATGTATAGGTAAAAAAAAAAAAAAAAGAATATAGGCTATGACTAAATGACTGCTGTCTGGGGCCTCAATACTTGCAAGTTATTTGTGAGGCTTTATTTTTTACGCTTATGGCGCTATAGTGAGCGATAATAAACTTGCGTTTATTAACAGAATAATGCGTCTTTTGGAGGAACATTGTAGCCGGAACTACTTCTCTCTGTGTACATCTATGACGAGTCACGCAGGCGCTGGGCTACTCCGCAGGGCAGCAATCCGAACCAGTGTAAAATAGTCCCAATGTAAACACCTATTATAGCCAAAGCCGGACAGTAACGGAGTACATTTACTTGAGTACAGTACTTAAGTACAATTTTGAGGGATCTGTACTTTACTCGAGTATAATTTTTGGGGAGTACTCATGACTTTACTCAAGTACATTTGAGAGGCAAATATTGTACTCTTTACTCCAATACATTTCTATCCATAACCGTGAGTACCCGAGTAAAAAAAAAAAAAAGTAAAGAAAAATCTCGGAAACCCTCAATTTGTTGTTTCCCTCTCAAACGTGATTGGATTGTGCAGGCGCCACTGGTTGGGACAGCCTATCAGCAATCACTTTCAGCTTTCCGCCAAAGTCAACTCCATGGTCAGATTTTATATTACACATTAATGTAAGCCAAGCATTTGGTTTGATGTTCTTGAGTATGTGGTGTGTTTAACACAGTCAGGTTCAAATGTGGCAGTGGCGTAGCCACGAGGGATTTCTGATTTCTTAAAAAAAAAACTTTAGGAGGCAAAATATATTTTTACTGATTATGTGAATTACACTGCGCAAACCAAAGTAGGCTACTACCCAGCGAATGAAGAAGGGTTGGCGCTCAGTCTCCACAGTACATAAAATATTAATTTTGTTTTATTTTATTTTTCGGGTTTGCATTTATGAGGAAAAAACAATGTTATGGGCGTGTTCTCCGTTACGGAAGTGAGCGCTCTGAAAGCGGCATAAAAAATGCTTTAAAACTTTCACAGAGACATCAAACAGAAAGCACAAAACCTTTCTTTAACCTGAATTTCGTTTTGCATTAATTGTATCTTAATTTGAATCAATGTTTCATCAACCAATTGCCTGGGTTTAATAAATAAGAAGTAAATACCAGACGATAGATAAGAAACGGAGGCGCCGGCACGTGAACTGGATCTCGTCTCATAAATGAACCGAAACTCAGCGTATAAGGTAGCCTACTTGCCTCTCACAGACATGTCTACTTTTAAACAGAAAAATTCAAAACGAAAGAAAACAGACTACAGACTGCTCTCTGCTTATGTAATCCGTATGAAATGTGCATTTCTCTCTGGCGCGTTCACTACTGAAGATCGCGAGTCAGCATCGTCAACTTCAGCCGACACTGACAAAGAAAACACTTGTTTACTAACAAGTGTTTATTAATAAACAATTAAAATATCTCCTTGCTATATTTTACATATTCATAATCATTCCCTTTGCCGGTTCTTTGTGACAGCTTTTAGGTGCTTTATTGGCAGCGCCACCCTTACATGTGGTGTGTGTGTGTGTGTGTTGTCCCCGCATTTAAAGATGGGACCCCCCAAAAATTTAATTAAATTAAATAAAGCAACATGGTAAAAAGATGAAAATGACTTGATTTTACTTTCAATTCCTTTTACATTCTCCAAGGCATTAACATTAACATTTTTCATAACTCCATGTAGGACGTTTCTGTGCATAAATGTAAGCACTGTGGCAGTAGATTAGTAATGCAATATTTAGAAAATCTACTCTTGTACTCTTGATACTCAAGTACTTTTAAAAACAAGTACTTTAGTACTTTTACTTAAGTAGACATCTGAATGTAGTACTTTTACTTGTACTTGAGTAAAATTTAGCAAGGGGTATCTGTACTTTTACTCAAGTAACAAAGCTCTGTACTCTGTCCGCCTCTGATTATAGCTGTACCATAGTGGTTCAGGATAAGACAAAAACACGGATAAAAAAATGGATTCATGATGAACTCGCTCATTATATACATTTTGTAAATTTTCAACAGAAAAAAGTTAAGGACTTTTATTTAATGCTCATTGCTAAAAACTTTTCAAAATATGACGCGACGCCCCACAGAGCTCGCTGAGGCCCCCTTGTGGGCCGCGACCCCCCTGTTGGGAACCGATGTCCTACACTGTTCACAGAGTGTAAACCGTGCTTCCTGGTCAGGACTCATTATTGGCCGGCTCCTGAGTCAGCATCACACGCGTGCAGTGGCTGTAACAGTTGCAACGTCAGACTGTCGCAGTTCATTTCATTTGTATTTCTGAAACTTTGTATTTGCCCACTGTCAATACTTTAATGAGCAGACAATAAAAGTTCAACATCATCTGCATGAATCTTAAGTCTCAGAAAACAGTCATTGATTAATTTACTGGGATCTCATGCTAAATAGTTTTCAACCTTGATTCAAATACAGACCAATTAATAAACACTCTTTGCACACCAGGATGGTTGGAGAAACAAGTAAACCCAGTCCCCTTCAAATCTACGCTTGTAGTTAGCATTATTATATTTGGCTGTCCAAAATAATTGATAGGCTATTCTTGAATGTAACACAATATTCTAAGATTATAAATGAGAATATTTGTATCTAGAACTGTCAGATGCAATGTTAATCAACAAAAACTGTTGAGTTTTACAACCCCACTGGTTTCACCTAACGAGACTCTGGCAGGAACGGCTCGTCGGTCGATCCAGAAGGACACCCATGACAGCATGACCATCAGAGTGGCGGGAAAGTACGTCTGAAGCAGGAAGAAGAAGATATGACGACGCAGAGTGAAGTTGATGTACAGACGATTGTACCAACCTGCAGGAGATATGAAATTAGAGCATAGAATAAAATTACAAGAAAAAGAAAAGTATTCTGATTCTGAAGACTGAGCAAGGACTGACTTAATTCTTAAAGAGATAGTTCACCCAAAAATTTAAATTCTGTTATAATTTACTCTTGTTCGTTATGTCGTTCCAAACCCGTAAGACTTTCATTCATCTTCGGAACTCAAATGAAGATATTTTAAAATGAACCAATGAGGTTCATTCTCGTGTTACGCAGCACGTTTGAGCTTCAGCAAGAACCAATGAGGTTCATTCTCGTGTTACGCATCAGTTTGAGCTTCAGAAAGAACCAATGAGGTTCATTCTCGTGTTATGCATCAGTTTGAGCTTCAGCAAGAACCAATGAGGTTCATTCTCGTGTTACGCATCAGTTTGAGCTTCAGCAAGAACCAATGAGGTTCATTCTCGTGTTACGCATCAGTTTGAGCTTCAGCAAGAACCAATGAGGTTCATTCTCGTGTTACGCATCAGTTTGAGCTTCAGCAAGAACCAATGAGGTTCATTCTCGTGTTACGCATCATGTTTGAGCTTCAGCAAGAACCAATGAGGTTCATTCTTGTGTTACGCATCACGTTTGAGCTTCAGCAAGAACCAATGAGGTTCATTCTCATGTTACGCATCAGTTTGAGCTTCAGCAAGAACCAATGAGGATCATTCTCGTGTTACGCATCACGTTTGAGCTTCAGCAAGAACCAATGAGGTTCATTCTTGTGTTACGCATCACGTTTGAGCTTCAGCAAGAACCAATGAGGTTCATTCTCGTGTTACGCATCAGTTTGAGCTTCAGCAAGAACCAATGAGGTTCATTCTCGTGTTACGCATCAGTTTGAGCTTCAGCAAGAACCAATGAGGTTCATTCTCGTGTTACGCATCACGTTTGAGCTTCAGCAAGAACCAATGAGGTTCATTCTCGTGTTACGCATCAGTTTGAGCTTCAGCAAGAACCAATGAGGTTCATTCTCGTGTTACGCATCAGTTTGAGCTTCAGCAAGAACCAATGAGGTTCATTCTCGTGTTACGCATCAGTTTGAGCTTCAGCAAGAACCAATGAGGTTAATTCTCGTGTTACGCATCAGTTTGAGCTTCAGCAAGAACCAATGAGGTTCATTCTCGTGTTACGCATCAGTTTGAGCTTCAGCAAGAACCAATGAGGTTCATTCTCGTGTTACGCATCATGTTTGAGCTTCAGCAAGAACCAATGAGGTTCATTCTTGTGTTACGCATCACGTTTGAGCTTCAGCAAGAACCAATGAGGTTCATTCTCATGTTACGCATCAGTTTGAGCTTCAGCAAGAACCAATGAGGATCATTCTCGTGTTACGCATCACGTTTGAGCTTCAGCAAGAACCAATGAGGTTCATTCTTGTGTTACGCATCACGTTTGAGCTTCAGCAAGAACCAATGAGGTTCATTCTCGTGTTACGCATCAGTTTGAGCTTCAGCAAGAACCAATGAGGTTCATTCTCGTGTTACGCATCAGTTTGAGCTTCAGCAAGAACCAATGAGGTTCATTCTCGTGTTACGCATCACGTTTGAGCTTCAGCAAGAACCAATGAGGTTCATTCTCGTGTTACGCATCATGTTTGAGCTTCAGCAAGAACCAATGAGGTTCATTCTCGTGTTACGCATCAGTTTGAGCTTCAGCAAGAACCAATGAGGTTCATTCTCGTGTTACGCAGCACGTTTGAGCTTACATTAAACTAACACTTTAATTGTACTTTTGAGCAGCTTAAATCTTGAAAAATGACACTTCAATGCTTCATCTATATTAAAACAGTCATCACATAATTTTTCACAATGCTGTGTAGATGATCAAACTCAAACACGATAATGAAGACCAAATGCAGTCCTTTAATAAATCCAAAGGCATAAAGGTAAATCCAAACAGAGAGCGCAATAAACACACATAACATAGACGATACCCGACAATGAATCAAACAGAACTGAACTTAAGTACACGTGATAATGAGGGAGATAATGAGTGCACAGCTGAACATAATGAGTGACCAAGACAACAAACGACTAACTCAGGCAGAAGGAGGTGAAACTAACTAACAGAACCATGACAATAATGACATGTATTATTGAGTTGATTTTTAAGATTTTTAGTGATTGCAATGACAACAAAATCTTGGTAACAAGTTAGCTAGCCCAGTTAAGTCAGATGGTAATTGATTTTAAGATGTAAAAATCGTAAAATTAATTACATTTTTCAAACTGTCACTCTGTTACTCTTTTTTCTGTTCTTGTTGTCTCGTCAGTGATTCTCCTTGTTAACCGTATTAGTAATGGCCAATCAGCAGTTGTAGATCGAACCTGCTTTATTATTTAACTGCAGAATCCACTACTTTTACTCTCTGCTGATTTCTGTTTAACACTGTAATGAGTATTTACCAATAACATATTTACAGTATTCTGTTTACATGAGCTCCAACTTAATCACAGCCATAATCACATTATAAGTGTGCCCATAAAGTGCATGCAAACAGAAGCCACCGATGACCAAATTAAAAATAAGAGGGATTTAAATGCAAGTCAGTATAAAGTCAGACAAATACAATTTGTCCAAGATGTCTGGGAAACGAATAAACCACAAGAGTGCAAAGCGCCAGCACGTTATGCACTAGTAGACAACTGAAACCGAACTGTGTAGTTTACTCTTTTAAAAATAAGCGTGTGCACCTGTGCTGCTGTAGAAGGCCAGTCTGGAGGTGGTGTGGAACTTCTGAATGAGGAACTGAGACAAAGAGATCTTGTCATCCGTGCTCAGAGATTCATCTCCACTCTTCCAGTAGAGCATCAGGTCTTCATCAGTGTAAGCATCTGGACACACAGCAGATGAACGGATGTGACTCAAGAAGTGATACTGGACATCAACGTCAGGAGAAGTGTACATCACTCACAGCTCTCCAGCTCTAACGTGCAGGTCTGCGTGTCCAGCGGGAACCGGCTGAAGTCCATATTACACGCTGAAGTTACAGTCACCCTGACACACCGAAAATCACTTTCAAAACCGGATTGTGACAGCAGAATAAAAGCATCATCTGCGTAAACATGCAGGTTCAGGTGTCCAAGCATTCGTGTTGGTATACTTGAGTAGACTGTTTGTTGTACTGACCTGAGGCTGTAGAGCACGTGTCCATCGGGGTAGACCCTGATCATGATGTTCTCCGTTGTGGTGTCGTGGATGAAGGATCGTTTGGAATGGACAAAGAACACGTCAGGAACCCAGATTTTTTTCACCAATCGACCATCAAAGGTCATGCTTTTATTGGTTTTACTGGGAAAAGATAGTCGCTCGTCCTTCCAGTAGTGTCTCAGGTAGAGGGTCATGGTGAAGTCCTGTTTGAAAAGCACAACATGGATTGACTTTTCAAGCTCATTGTGTATTGTTTTGTTTGTTAACAATAATACTTTCTCCTATCCCAGCTTAGCATGCAGAGTAATCTATAAGTAAGCCATTCTTATGTTAGTTGTGGCTCCGTCAAAACATTGTTCTTTTTGTTTGATCACCCCTTTCAGAAACTATTCATATTTGATACATCAGGCTTTTATGGTGCATATAGTCATATCTCAGTGAGATCTATTTAACAGTATAGCAGATACATAAAAGGCATTTCCATATCAGCTGTCACTCTATATCTGCCAATTAAAGCTCTGTAGTTTTAAAACATACAATGCAATGCAATACAATAAAGATTGAGAGATGAACAAATAAACGTTGATGATAACATTTGATACTCAAGGATAATCAAGTAAACCTAATTGCTTCAGTCCAGTAAGTGTTCATTTTGAAATAACAATATGAAAGTTATTCTTACGTTAACTCACGTTTAAAATTAGTAGAGATTTCACAGCAAAAAGACATGTGAACCACAAACTAAAGGTGGACGTTTTTACAATTATACTAAAAGCACTTTTACCTGCTAAAATAGTATGAACTACACTCAAAAAAATGATATGTTGGCTTTACTTAACTTTATGTAAACAGGTTCCACCGGTTCCACATAACTATGTTTCGTTAAACAAACATAATATGTTCATGTAACTTCAACATCATGGAATTTGGTCATTTTAAGCGACCCAATTAAACTCTGAGCTAATGAGTTAATTAAGTGAATAATTGAGTGATGATTGAGCATTATTGAAGACACCCGATGTTAACAAGCAGAATCTCTGAAGGAGAAAACTGGAATGTTTAAGTCACCATTATGGAGATAAGTGTGTGTTTTAGTTGGGCTCTTGACCATTAACTTATTAACTTTAGATTTTGTTTGGTTGCTGTACATGAGTTATAACAGCCACCAATAAAAACTCATTCATGGCTCCCATCATGCATTGCTGCATGAATAAATAATGAGCTTATGATCTGTTTGTCACCATTGCTGAGATTCATATGCTGATTCTTGATGTATGTGTGTGCCTACTAAAAATATTTTTTAGGAAGTTTCTTTTTTATTTATTGATTTGATCATTTAAATTTCATTGAAAAGTCTAAAAATAGTATGCTCTACAATGACAGTGCTGCTATTATTCGTAAGGTAAACTTAACTCAGAAATTCGGTTTAATATAAGTTCAGTGACTCAGGTCAAATGATTGTGAAATAATGATTATGTTAAAACACAACCAACACCATCAGATGACCTTTGTTTATTGTTCATCCGGCTGTTATAACTCATGTACAGCAACCAAACAAAATCTAAAGTTAATAAGTTAATGGTCAAGAGCCCAACTAAAACACACACTTATTTCCATAATGGTGACTTAAACATTCCGGTTTTCTCCTTCAGAGATTCTGCTTGTTAACATCAGGTGTCTTGAATAATGCTCAATCATCACTCAATTATTCACTTAATTAACTCATTTGCTCAGAGTTTAATTGGGTCGCTTAAAATGACCAAATTCCATGATGTTGAAGTTACATGAACATATTATGTTTGTTTAACGAAACATAGTTATGTGGAACCGGTGGAACCTGTTTACATAAAAAAGTTAAGTAAAGCCAACATATCATTTTTTTGAGTGTATCAATCAGAGGGCAGGTAGAAGGCGGCATGTGCGCAACAGGTTTTTTCACCAACGATTTGATCATTGATAATTTAGCAGCCTTAGGTTAAGAAGTAACATTATGAAGTACATGTCCAGAAACTTCGCTTTCATTGCGGCTGAATTTGTGCAGATGTCCAGATGCACATTAATATTCAATAACTGAACATCTGTTGTCAGTTATTCTTCATGCATGGTTCTACACTAAGGTCAGTATTATTTCAAAGAATGACCCAGTAATGTTTTGTTCATATGTGGCTGGCTGAAATTACAGTGGTCTCATTACTAAAACTGTACCATCAGATCATGTGATCTCAACCATGACAGATGACGACCCTTAAGTGGAATAAACCCACTTAGTTCACCTTTACCAATGCAGATTAGTAAAAAAAAAAATAGCTTAGTCCGATTTAAGCCTGAAAAAATGGGTTCACTTTATTTTGATGGTTCTGTTTACACATTCTGTTGACTATAAGTAACATTACACCTACATGTCTACTAACTGTCATAGTGTTAGTAGTAGACTGGTAGTAGAGTTAGTAGAACGAGTTGACATGTAGTTGCAAAGTTACTTATAGTCAACAGAATGTTCAAAAGGGACCATCGAAATAAAACGTTACCAAAAATGTATGCAAGGTGTTGACATGCATTTCCAAACTGCTTAAATCCTTGTGAAATATTACCATCTGTTGGCATTACTGAGGGATGCCAGCACTTTTACCAGTCTTCATCAAGCCGGATGGACTGCACATTCTGATTGGCTGATTTATTGTGATGTCACAGGGTAAACCTCATGGATTATCCTCTACGTGACTCATTGCATATTATGTAACAAATCCACGCTCACTCAGAAACATCGGCACTGATATGATAAATAAAAGCATATCATGACACATCTCTGATGCTTTCAGAAGGGATATTAAATCCCAAGCGCTGAGATCCATATATAATCTATGCAATCTCCCGATGACTACAAATCCACTGAATAACAATCACATTCTCATTACAGTAATGGGTAAAAATGATACATTATTTCAGATTTAAAGTATTTATGTATTAGTTTGTATGTATTACTTAATGGCTACATTTTATCTATGCAAAACATTTGTTTGTTTATGTAATATGCCTGCCTTGCATAATAATGAATAATTCATAACAATCACAGATCTTACCATATCTACTTCTGAGATGCTGTCCAAGCTCTCTACCTGTACATCCACACCCACCGGCACTGCTGGACCTGAGAAGAAGAGAGTAGTGTTAGTTTCAAAGGTTTTATAATGTGCACTTTGATATTTCAAGGATTATTAAAAATCAGGAACTATGTACACCCCCACGACATAAATAATAACTGTGAAACAAGAAATCCAAGACACTCAAGTTATTAAAAAAGCTTTTAGTCATTTAAATAGTATGATAAAATTGAATATCACTGACATGTTACACTAGAAGACCATTCATCAGGGTGAGGATTTCAGATAAACCGACTATTTTAACAAAGAGATATTGTATATGATCTTGCAACATCAAATGTTTACCATATGTTAAGCCCTAATTTGATAGAGACATAACACAAAATAATGCCACATAGCAAATGCACCAATAAAAAAAATTAAAAAAGCATTTAGTCAGTCTTTGTCTGTCTCCACCTAGTGTTAACCCTTAGACATCACATCAACGAACCATTGGCTGACTGTCTGTAGCATAAGACACACAAAATTGAAAACACTTTATTATGATCTTTATGTCAGGGTTAATGTGTGTATAATCCAAAAGATTGGTGTGTGACGCAGAATGAATAATAAAGATAGTTTTTGATAGCAAGCAACTTTATGTCAGCGTTGGTTGCAGCAGAGAGGAAACAGGACCTAAGTGACAAGAAACAAACAATCTAAGAAACAAACTCAAAACTTCACAAAACAGAATCTCCAGGACAGGAACAAGATCAGGAACAGAACAACCAACTTAACTTGATATAGAAGTGACAATGAACTGAAAGAAAAACAGAGCTTAAATGATAATTCCGCACTTTGAGTCTATTTTCTAGTTTGTTTTGGATGAACTAGAGTGGTGGACACAGAAATTTTGACGATGGGTCCTGTCTCGACTTTTTGACTCTTTTAGAATCGCCTCTGAGCGCTTCAGAGTGGGTGGGTGCTAATCATTTCTTATTTGTGCATCCTCGTTTCCTTTCCTCGCTTCCTTTCCTCGCGTCTCAGCTCCACCGCCTGTAGGACGCGAGGGAAGCTGCAAGGAAAGAAAATGAGGACAGAGGAATCGAATGAAAGTTTTTTTATACATTGGAATACTTGATCACTCGAGTGTCACTTCACAGCGTCATCAGCAGTGCTCAAAGGATCTGCCCTTATGTTGTTAAAGTTTGTTTATTTAAGAAATCCATAATAAATAATAATAAAGCAAGATACCTTGTTGAAATATGTGAGTTGTGTGCTCAAACATGTCCTTAAACAACCCTTAACGTTCGTTTTCAAAACTTTGCAACTCACCGAGTGGTTAGTGGCATCATTGGTGTCACCAATAGTGATGGCCGGTTCGTGAACGAATCGTTCTTTTGAACCGGTTCTTTTTAGTGAACCGGTCGAACCACTACACTAAATCGGAAATCGGACAGTATACAAAATGTATTAACAATATGTTAAATGTCACCAAAATACACATGAGAAAAAGAGTTCCTCATATTATTGTTTATTGGTTTTTAATTATTATTATTATAAAAAAAAAAAAAAAAAATCTGGATTGAATTGACAGATGGGGAAAAACTCGCTTCTAATAATAAAAAAAAAACGCTTAGATTTCAGAAAAAAATACAATCCTTTTTTAACCTTTTGGCTTCCCGTACATTCAATTGTGCTTTTTGCTCATCTGGGCAACTACGCATGATTTGTAGTATGATTGCGAAAAGGGAACAGGAATTCCGGTCGGGAACAGAATCGACTGCTACACCCAGTGCCGATCCTGACCTCCCTGGGGCCCTAAGCTAAATTCTGCTAAGGGGCCCTCTACCTGACCTGTGATGTCGTGAGCTATGTAAACCATTTGCCATTGCCACAGTCACACCTGACACTTCAGCGCTCCCATACAATCCTCCCTCCTTTAAACAAAACGGTCAAAGAATAAGTACAACAATATAGAACAGAATGAGGTTCAAACACACAATATTTATTGAATAGAGTATTTTCTATAGAATGTTAAGATAATAAGTGAATATTATTAAGTAAGTGAATATTAACGTAAACATAAATAAGAAGAAAATAATAAATTATAACCCTGAGCTTTGGCTTTTGGGATTAACTTTGGTTCTTTCTACAGCCTGGGCATTTTCGGCATCAGTATGATTTTTAAAATTTTTATTATGCATGTTGAAGCAATTCTTGATTTATGGTTATTATTTACTGAGGGATGTGCATCCATTTTGACCAGTATGTCCAGCTAATCAACATTTTTAATTCAATATAGCCTATAAATCAATAGTCAATCAATGTCAAATTGTCAATACATTGCTTATCTTGCATAATTAGTGCAGTTGTTTAGAGTTTTTAACTACACTGAGACTAGATAATCAGTGTCTTGTTTTAAAAGTATAATGTGTACTTTGATTGGGAGTGCCATCATTCACGTGCATGTATTGTACAGTATGTCTGGTGTCCACATATTTCTGCTTGAAAAATGCGAGTTTCATTTCTTGCACGCGCATATGAACGCACGATAACACACGCGACGCGGTTATGTTTTCCGAGCTGCAGTAAACAAACACCGTTGCACTTTGTCGTTTATCAAAATCAAACGTAATAAATAATTGTATTTTACTCTCACTTTTGTCAGCCACAAAGTGATGCAAGAGATGCACTGCCTGCCCAGCTAGGTTAGCAAGACCGAAAAACATCAAACTTTGCTGACATCAAACTTAGAGAGGAGAGAACACAAGTTTACCTGATTGTTGTTCCCGCAATTCACTCTCATGGTTTTTTTCTTCTTCCTCTTTTCGTGACCAGAAGGATAGTTTCGCTTCATTTTGTCGTGGATGTTGTAGCTACACATTTGACGGCGCGCTATGACTATGACACGAGATGGAGGCGTGGCCTTAAGTAATTTGCGTGGCCCTACGCCGGTCGCGTGCAGTCTATGGTCGCGTGCAGCGTTTCTGACTTTCACTTTCGGTGCCCGAATGGAAGTGAATGAGGCTTTGTGATTTTTTTTTTTTTAATCTAGGCCTACGTGAAATTCTGCATCCATTGTACGATTTAATTTTTTTCTCGGAAGGGCAACTTGAGTGAGAAGGGCAACTTGAGTGAGAAGGGCATATGGGCAGTTGCCCGGGCAACCTGAGCAACCCCCCTGTGCACGTCCCTGAGCCTGACAGTCCCTCCGAATCGAAATAACCCATATATTTATATATATATAACCGGTATATTTTACTCCAGTAAATCCAACAGTTCACTGAACTGAGACATGTTGTGCTGAGAGAAATGATGAGATTGAGCACGAGCAGCTGATACCGCGCATGCGCGTTCTACTAAACGCACAGGTACACAGCGGATTATCACTGTATTATTTTAAAGTTTGGAAACACAATGGATTGTAAAACTGTCAAACTAAACATTTATTATTATACTAAAATAACATTTTCAGGAACAGCTCATTTAATTTCTAAGTTGATATAAATCTTTGATGTAAACGCCAAGGTTTTATTGGTGCACTGCTTAGTAAATGTTTATAATGTGTTAAAAACGTAACGTATTAAACAGGAGACATGCATCGATTTTTTTGTTTTGTCGACTGTATTCAGGTTTCAGCAGTTCTCAGCTCAGCACACACAGGCCTATGACGGTTCTCTAGTTAAGAACTGGTTGTTGCAGTTCTTGAATCACCAGTACAGAACCGATAACTGTTTCTTTCGGACACGTTCGATACGGAGAACCGATGAGCTGGAGATACTGCGCATGCGTGATAACACCGTCTCTAAACAAAACTTTATTTCGGCCAACTGATGCTGTGCTGATACATGAGCAGGCAGCACGGGTGAACCGAGGACTTAAATGAGGCGCCGAATTCGGCTAAATGTAAGTTTATTTAATAACAAATAGAATGATGAAGACCATGTATGCACTTTATATCTTTAAGACATGTAAAACATCCGCGTTTGCACATCGCCTGTAGGCTGGATTCGTTTGCAAAACGTAAATTTAAGAAACTTATCCAATATGATTATGACGATGAGTACTATTATTTATACTATGAGTTATGATTACAAATGCCTTTAATTTAAAGTATTTTTATCCGCCGGAATGATAGAATTGACGTCACTACGTGATGACGTAAAAGAACTGGTGAACCGGTTTTTTGAACCGGTTTATTGAAACGAACTGTCCGAAAGAACCGGTTCGCGGAAAAGAACTGGACTTCCCATCACTAGTCACCAATGTGATCACACCTCAGTCCAGTAGATGGCGGTAATGCACAAAGATTGCAAGCTGCCATTAAAATTCACTGAAGAAGGAGAAGATTCCAGATCTCAGCTTCAGCGTGGATAGTAGAGCTCCCTGGTCTCTGCTTCATTCCAGTTTGCAGACATTTTTTCGTTCTTTCTTTGTTGATGAAGAACACAAACTTTCTTTTAAGAGCAACAGAGTTGCGCAATGGCACATGCGTCATCACTACGACACACCCCTTACGGCATTGGTCCTGGCTTTTGTTCACACAGGGCGCGTTCCGGTGTTGTGCCGAATTCTGACCCCCGCCAAATTACTACCCCCCACTAGTACTGGTAGGTTTAGGATTAGTTGTGGGGGAGGGGTTAGGATTAGGCAATCAGGTACTGACTTCATCGAGGGGGGTGATAATTTGGCAGGGATTCGAAATTCGGCACAACACCGGGACTGATCCTGGCAATATTACTAGGTCCCCATCCCGGCATCGATCCCGGGACGTGTTTGCGTTCACACAGAAGGCACTCTAGCAATTTTACGGCAATTTCCCGGGATCAACGCGCTGTGTGAAAGGGGCTCTAGAAACACAGACATGAACATCTCAAAAATAAACTCTAAACATGAACACACAAACTCAACACGTGACACTTTATTAAGGGTACGTTTACAAGACAACGATATGCTTAAAACGGAGAAGTTTTTCGCTTACAGACGATCCCCATTCATACGGATCAGCGTAAACGACTACAAACACTGTATTCTGCTGCCAGGCCATTAGATGGCGGTGAAACAC